TAACTTTCCTTGCGTCCGCAGTTTGTATCTTTTATGCCACAAATGTAGGCGTAATAATATTTCAACAGTAACATCTCATGTGCATCGCTCCAGCACTATTTCGTATTAAGGACTCGTCATGAAATGTGCGTCAGCTGTGAATGACCGAAATTCTTTCAAATATTGTGCATAAATGATAAAAAGGATATTGCAAAACACAAAATAAATAATGTAAAAATGAAAGTAAATAGTTTGCAGTGAAATATGAAATGATTTCCCATACAAAAATGCGCACATGTGTTGATATATTGCTTTTGCCACATAATATTTTGATAAATATATAAGTAGATACGTGCATGTATGTGCATGCATACACTGCTAAATATTTAATAAACAGAAATTCGCCAAAAAAAGGCAATCACATATCTATTTGCAATAACATCAGTACGGATAACATGAGCAACATCAGCGGCAATCATCTTTGCTTTTGGATCATTTGTCAGTTACATATGCCATAATGGCACACCATGAATTTCTGTCCAAACCATTGTCCTTCCACACATACGAGCACTTTCCGTTCATACACTGACAAATTCGCATTAAGGATGCGCGTGCATATTTATTATATGTGCTTTTATTTGTATTCATGTTCAAATTTTTCTCATTCTTATTTATTTAGTTTTATGCTCCTTTTTTATAATTCCTGCTGAATCTCAACGAGAATGAAACATTTTTAGAATTTCAAAAGTGCATTTGCATTTACAATGAGCATTTTCGACTAAACAAAGAAATGCATAACTGTGTTTGTGTTCGTGCTTGCAAATGTAATGCAAACATTATTACACACATTCACACACACACGCACACATCTACATATTTATATGATATGCATGCAACGTGTATCCTTTCCGCAATATATGAAAGCTGTTGTCTTTTGTAACGTCCTTGCAAAGGATATCGGTAATACTCGTACGTATATGCACTCAGATTGGCTCCTCGTTCATATCCTGCACCGCAGTCGTAATATTTTTTTAAAGGACTTTGTGTTTAATAATAAAAGCTTAAATTTGAATAAGACTTGGAATTGGTGTATCCTTGCATGGAGTTCTTGTAATCAGATGAGTTGGGAATTAGTTTTCGAAAAGAACATTTAAAAAGAAAACGATTCAACGATGATTTTGAATGTTTACATTATAAATGATATTCGTTGTAGAAAGGGAGTCATCACATAAAAATCTAAATATAATTAGAAATTTGTGGGGTAAAGTAAATATGGTTGAAAATATCGTTCTTTTATAGTGACAATTCTATTAAATTCTATTAAATAAGAAGAGGGACAACTTTTCTGCAAAATGTTGATTACAATAAAGATAACGTATTATGAGGGGCTAAAAGTCTACTGAATCTGAGATAATTTAACCAGAAAATTCAGCATTACTGCTGACAATACAATAAACCATTGAAAGCAGAGCAGAGTTCCTATAAAAATTTTAGAATAGTTACGTATCACCAGTGCATAAACATGTACTGAACCGGAGATAATTATTCTAGAACATTCGGTATTATCAGTGGTATTAGAATAAACTACCAATAAAAGGGAGAGCAGAGTTTCTATAAAAATTTTAGAACGGTTATTGTATTGGGACTACAGAGCAGAGTCTCTATAAAAAATAAAAAAAATATATATAGAAACATTTTGAAACAATTACTGTATCGGCACAACAGAGCACAGTCCTTATAAAAATTTTGGAATCACTGGATCTGAAATTTCCAGAAAACTTCTTCGGGGAAATATTAAGCTAAGTTAGGTTGTACCGTCGATCCAAACGGATTCACTTAGACCTGTTGGCCCATTGTATTATCGTATAAGGAAAAAACTCAGAATTTTAAAACCACATTAAACCATTATCAGGTAGTATGACCTAATGGTAGCTTCTGAAACCTATCATCAAGGTTGTTTTTCATAGTTAACATATCCTACTTTAAACTCGTTGGCTGCACCATTAAAATCTTCTCTTGCAAAATGAACTATTATTAAATATAATTTTATAGAATAAATGTTTATAAGAACAATAATGTTATTAAAATTCTGAGTAGAATGCTTTACAAAAAATGCAATAATCCCTTTTTTATTACTAAATAGGATTTTACTTTAAGTGCAGTATTAACAGATATTAAAATCCGATGTAAATTTAGTTCAAATATACAATACTACCATCAAAAAATTAGCCACCAAACAAAATTAATCAAAGTGAATTATGGTTGTAAAACAAATTCCTCAAAAATACGTCAAATTAGGTACTAGCGTATAAAAGACGAACTACGACAAGTTGACATTTAATAAGAATTCGTTTTCTAACCGACTTAAGTGGTTCGGGAATGTATCAATAACGCTACATTCGAAAATATTCAAATACAAATCTACAACGAAGCCCCATCAAAAAAAATCTATATGACATACAGGATTTATATTCAACAAAAATTTATCAGGCTCTTTAATAATAGATGTAAAGTAATAGGAACAAATACAAAAGTATCATAAAGGAAGAGAAAAAGAAACAACTGAACACTTTCTTTGCGAATGATGAGACCTGGTTCTATTGAGACAATTCACTATAAAAGTCTATAATCCAAATAAAAGCCAGATGACAATCTAAACGTAGACCTCAAAAACACAATTTTCTTTATCAATCATAACATATAAGTTGGATTTGAAATAAAGTTTCTTATAAACGGGTTTGAGGTTAATAAATGAATTAATATGTCTGGCAGATTTCTACAACGTGGACTTTCAACAAAAAAAATACCCTTGATCAACCATTCAGGTTGGATTTAAAACTGTAATTTTCCATATCCGAGTGTCTAGTAACAAAATTTCGCTTATGAATTACTTATATAAAAAAGGCTGGATGTAGAATAATCCACAAAATTCGAATAATCAGCTATGAGGGAATATAAGGAAAGTGCAACAGCACGTATAAAGTACAAAGTAACAGATATTTGTTCGGGCCACAATTCACTGTAACGACAATAAAAGAGTTGTGAGTGAAAGAAAGAGACAGAAGTTAACAGAATAAGATATTAACCAATTTGGAACATATGTCTTATGTTAAGATGTAACTTTAGATTCCTCTTAGTTTTTGATAAGAGCGCTTCTAAGATGTATCCATTAATATTTAAGTGTAAGAAAAGTTTTTTAATTAGTTTTGGTTTAGTGCAAGTAGCATTTTTCTTAGAACTTTTAGAAAGTAGTAAAAAAGAATTACATTACGCAAAGGTTAACTAACATTAAAATTTTAAATATTTGTACTTACCGCATAACATTTTCGGCGTACCTGAAAGCCAACCGCAGGTGCTACAGCTGCTCATACAACTTTTTTATAGTTTTTCCAACGCGTTTTCCTTCTACAAAAATTCAATATTACAAAAATTTGATTTTTCCTTAATTTTTTGTTGTTTGATTTTCACTAATTTTTCTCCTGTTATTTATAATGCCAGCCGTTTACCACTGCGGATACAAAAGTAAAGATACACGCCAACCGTTGTTATTTCTACAGCTACTGTTGTTGGTTGTTGCTGGCGTAATATCGGCAACATTCTGACATACAATAAACTTGTATATTTTTATTTGTTTGGTTTTAATTTTTAATCATATTGTTGCCAACACAAAGTGTGGAAAATTACATCACATCAACGTAAAAAAAAACATTTCCACTTCTCCTCTTACATTTCCTCATTTCGGTTATTAATGTGAGATACTAAAATTTAATTGCAGCAATTGCAAGTTAGAAGAAGTATCTTTGTTCCGAAATTCCATTGAAGTCATATAACGGAATTTCGGCGTCTTTGCGGAGGGTGAAAGTACCAGTATACATTGAGGAAGAGTACGAGTTACTATGGTGCCAGGAAGAAGATTGGGTTTAGCATTTTATCTTAATAATGTAGCGTGTTATTCGCACAAGTGCTTCTGTTAATTAGGCAATTTTATTTTATTTTTACACAAACCGAAATTACTAAAATTTATTTCATTTGCAGCACCTGTGTGAGTTCCTAAAGAAAAATTATCAAACGAATATAAAGATTTATATTAAATATCTCAATAATATATTATTGTAAGAAAATATTGTATCTAAAATTTTAGTAGAATTGGGAAAATGTTCTAATTACTGAGCAACCATATAAAACTATCAAAATGTAGGCGATTAGTCACATCTGACCAACGGAGTATCGACATTAAATATGTAGAAAAGAAATAGGAAGTCTAAGTTATCAAAAGAATATTATTTTATTTATACTATTGGTTAAAAATGTTTAGATTAGGTAAGAGTTTTCATTTTTAGGGTATGCATTGGAATAAAAACAACGAGTCCTAAAGCTTTGCAGTGAATCCCTGCAGTTGTTTTAAGATAATACAGTAGAGATTGTATCACAGAAAATATTTTTAATGATTAACGAAGACACTCACAGTTTTCTAGGAAAAATCCTTTTTCTAATGCAGTGAAGCTCCATGTGGTACATATTTTATGGGCTATACTGGTTCTCGTCTTAAACTTAATCATTATTTGCTCTTCGAACCATTTCATGAAAATTGAATCAAGTTACGGGGTGAATTTTGTTAAGTGTAAGTAGTTCGCTTCAAAGGACTTTTATAAGAAAACTATTTAAATTATTCGCTTTTAAACCACTTGGAACTTTTTTTAGGTACACATTTGTATGAGAACCTATATATCGATGAACTCTCGAACCCAAAAAAATCCAATGAATATAAAACTGAAAATAGCTTCCAATTTACCATTAAAGCTAATATTTATTTCACATGAAAAGTTAACTTGGTATTTCATATAAAGATATAATGACCATAACGTGTTAATTTTGCATTCAATTTGTATAGCCTTTTATGCTAATTTTTCATACGATATAAATGTCAGTACTAACTTTAAGATATAAACTAAAAAAAAATTCATTTAATTATATTTTATTTCTTATCTTATTTAACATAATTTGATCTAAATATTATTTAATACACTAAATACAACTACTGAAACAGTACTTTAACCGACATTAACTCGTCTTCTCAATGATACACGATCAATTTTTCCGCAAGTTACACGCGGTAGTGATTTCATGAATAAAATTTCATTTATACTGTTAAATTGTTCTTCAGAAAGGTTTGCTTTGAGTTTGTGTCTTATTTTATTACGTAAAACATCATGGTCCTCCATAATATTATCTTTCAATTCAATAAATAAGGCACCAGTTTCACTAGAATCATATATGGATTTCTTACAACCCACGAGACGTGCAAAAGCCACCTCTGGTAATAAACTCACAAGATCTTCAATGTCGTTTGGTATCAACTAAAATGAAACAAAAAAGTTAAATCTATATTTATATTACCTCTTCTTCCTTACAGTAACATTTCTGGTATGTACTAAATCCTTATAACGTCCTGCTATATGTAAATCATTATTTTCGTCCACAAATCCATAATCACCATTTAGAAAAAAATTATCCTTTAATATGTACTCATGTTTATTTGTTTTTAAATAGCCATTAAAAGGTATAACTGGCTTTATGCAAAGCTGTCCATGTACATTAATCCCAACTGGTTCCAGTTCTTCATCTAAAATTTTTAACTCTAATCCAGCTAAGATTTTTCCACCATTCATATCCTTTTCAATAGTAATGCAGCCTGAAACTTCAGTCATACCATAAACGCTAAACAGTTGACAGTTTTTAGCTTGTATTTTGGTAAGATCAGAAATTGACTTTGGTGATGGTTCACCACCTAATAGAGCATAACGTAGAGTAGACATGACATTTTCATTTTTTGCAGTATATAGCACATCTTGAAAAGCGGCGGGGGAACCAAAAAAGTGTGTTACTTTTCCCTTCTTAATAATATCTGCTCTAGCTCTGCCACTTGTATAAATACGTTTAATGCCCAATATGCTGGATTGTAACATTATGGCAATAGCACCTATCCAGCGTAGTGGACTTGAAGCAAACATCACTGAATCGGCAACAGGTACTGAGCTGTTGTCAGCATTACACCACCACTGTTTTATGCCGCTGAGCATAGCTGCATGACTTAAATTGACAGCTTTAGGAAATCCTGTTGAACCTGAAGTGTACACTAATGAAGCTGTTGTCTCCTTCGGGTACGGAATTTTAACTGTCCTAAAACTTTCCATATGTTGTACAGATGTTGGTTTCAATAGTTCGCTCTTGATGTTTGGAAACTCTTTGCTATCAATTGATATTAAATATTTTAAAGTGACTTGTTTGCATCGTTTGAGTGATTCATCTATGTCATTTCTGTATGCTTCCTCATAAATAATCATAGTCGGTTCCACTAAGCTTAATCCATGGTCAATATGTTCTGGTAAAAATTTTGTTTCAAAATACGTCACAACTGCACCAATTAAATAGCAACCAAATGCGAGCACTGATATATTAGGATTATGCATGGAGTATAGCACTACGACATCACCTGGTTTGATGCCAATTCTCTGCAGATTCATGGCTATCACAATTGCTTCCTTATAAATCAGTTCAGCCGACTTCTCTTCATTAGTATCGTAGAATAGTTCCAGTACTTTATCCTTTGGCATGTTTAGCATTGATTTGAGAAAGGCTTCACCTAGAGATTGATTAGCGAAATTATGTTCCTTATAATTCAATGATCTCCATATTTTGTTTTCTTCGTCGTATACAACTTCTCTAAACGCCTCCATTTCTGTAACTTCTGCTTTCTTTAAAAAATTCTGTTGAACTGTTAATGAATCCACAAATCTTTGTTAATTTATAGGTATCTTTATTTATGACTTACAAGATTTCGAGATTAAGTTTACATATCGTGACTACGTCAGTTTTAGGAGCGCAGTGCGTTATTAAGTTTATTCTGATTATTGTTAGAAGATAAGATGTTCGGTTTGATTTTAGAAATTTTTAACGAATACCGAAAGAGAAGTTCTTAGAATTTATTGACCCTATTGGTTGTATATAATATTGAGTGTCTATATAATTTAATACTGAAATTTAGAACCCCCATTTGACTGCATTGGCACTGGATATTGAGTGTATCTGTTCAAATTTACGCAAAATATAGATTGTACTATTTTCAGTTAAGAAACAACGCTCTGAAAATGATTTTAAGTATCACAATTAAGTGTTTATAGTATCAATAAAATGGGACACACTTATTTGTATTTTAAACAGAATTATTCCGCTGTAAGTAAATCTGGTGGTTTTATATGACAATAGTACCTTTTATAATCTTTTATTACTTAAGTTTTAATTAATGAGATTACTCAGATTTCATTTTCTTTTCATTACTAGTTTTTTCTGAGAAATAAGGTCTAATTAAAAAACGTGGTTTTTTCCCAAGCAGTTAGTAACAATACGAAATCTCTTATCGATACTAAAATGTGCAGCGAAAGTGCAGTACTTGGAAATTTCCAAAAACTTTAAGACTTTTAAAATTTTTATTCGCGGTGGGTAAAAAGTTTTAAAAGCGATTTTGAGAACCTCAGTAATCAAAACCATATAGAGAAATAGTAAGTTTAACACAAATAAATCGAAATTTATCTTAGTAAAGCAAGACGAATATTTATGGATAGTTGAGCAGGTAGACAATTTGAAGAAGGTAATTGAGTATAAATGGTAGAATCGGGTTTTGAAAACTACGGTTATAAAGAAGGGTGGTATATAGGGTATAAATGTCAGAAGGAACTTGTTATATAGATGGTTAATATATCACCGGTCTTTCTTTTTCATTCAGTTAGAATAGTGGTTTTAGAAAATTTTATCATGAAATGTTAAAATATATATGTCCGCAGAAAAAGCATAGTCTGTAGAATAAGTCTGTAGAAGTATAGAAATGCTGAGTTTTTCCTCATAATATGATAATAATTTATTTAAGTTTTAAAAAATGTTTTTAAAAAATATACGATTAGAAGTGTAGACTTCAGATTGTAATACTGATTTAAATTCATGCCAGTTTTTTATTTATAAAAATTTTGGCACAAAAATATCAATAAAGTCATTTCATTCTATTTTAATAATCAATATGGTATTGGCCTACCACAAATGTCTTTCAATTAAATTGAAGTTCAGAGCAATATTTTAAAACTAGGCTAAAATTGACATAATACATTCTCGGATTTTATAATGAGAAACAGTTGTAATTGCTAGCAATAGATGTACTGAAATCTTTCAAGAATTTATTGACTCCTACAAGAACCAGTGTTTAAGCAGACCGATCTTATAATATGTGTCTGCAATTGGATTGTTTAAGGACTGATCCGATAATTTTTTGCTATCTCTTTACCATGTGTTGGGTATTCCCTCTTTTAGCCTTGTAAGTCTTCTAGCTCCTAATGCATAGTAATATATTTCGTATAGAATACATTACATCCTTTCAATGAATTTTTGGTGTTGAATTTAATCCTTTAGGAAATATGTATGCCACCGTTTTATTGTACTATATATCAGCTTTTATTTCAAATATTTCACTGACGTCATTGGTGTTTAAATAATAAAGATTATTTGTTACTTTGTTAACAATTTTTATTGTAGTTTTATAGAATTTTTATTGTTTTCTCATTCTATTACTTATTTACTTTAAGATTATTGTGAAATAAAGATGCCATGCAGTTTTGCGGTGTTTTTAAACAATAATAAATTATTGTTTTATGACAACTACTACATTGTTAAGAAAGTAATCAAGAAAGTGATAGTTTATAACGAGCAATCAGATGAATAAGTGATTAATGGCATGCTTTTGTCTCGTGGTTTATTATTCATTCATCAAAAGAAAAAAAAAGTATTTGTTATAAGAGACTCAGACTCTTTTGCAAGAGATTCAGAAGTCTAAAGCAAAATATGTTGCAGATTTTGGCAACCCTAAAATTTCGGCTTGACGCAGCATGTCTTCTCAGGCGCCTCTGTGGCGTACGTGCCTCCTTCATTTTACTACATCAAATCCGGCAAGTGCTTCCTCAATTCGAGCACTCCACTGGAGATACGATCTACCTTTACGTCGTCTATCTCCAACTACTACTTCTAATACCATTTTCATTGACGCATCTTCATCCATTCTCACGATATGACCAAGCTAGTGCGAAATTGACCTGGCACGATTGAAAAATCAAATAAGAGAATTTGTCATAATTTAAATCAATCAAAATAATACTCATATAAAAAAAATAGAAATTCAAAATGTTTTAGAAAGTATCGCCAGGTGGTGTTTTGTCAGAATTATCATGAAGCCGTCACCTTCACACGTTAGTTGACACTTCGGTCATTAATTTTCTCTCCAAGTTTCATTGGTATTTTATAAATATTTTGAACTGAATAAATAAAATTTAATAGATATGGTCCAGTTCATAAAAAAGTTTTTATTTATAGAATATTAACCAAGAAATATCGTGATATTTCAGGTAATTGCCAAACTAGAAAGGTAGTACTAAGTACAAGAGACATGATCACTCAATAAGCAAAGTTCACTTTCCTTATCTTCTCTAGAAGATATATTTCTCTGTAGTTTAGAAAGAGATTTGACTTGTAGTCTTATTCACTGAGACTCCCTAGTTTTGATCAGGATCTAAAGTAAAATACTAGGCTAGAAGACTATTACCCCTAAGGTATAACCGTGTGATACTAGGAAGTGATTATCAAGGCACATTTTAATTTTCTTTCGAAGAGTTGACTGTTGCTTGATCGAAACTTATATAAAATATTCGTTACAAAGTATCAATATTCTGCTCCGTATAGAGTTTGAAAATTTCTTGACTTTTGTTTTATATATTTAAATATAGTAACGACTTTAATGCAGACAAGCTTGAAATGCAATATATACTGGATAGATATTGTATCGAAAATTAACAACAATTTTGGAGTATCGTAAACCAAAAACACCAAAATGAAAAAGACCACTGATGATGGTTGTTTGATAATAGTTTATCTTGTCAGTCAAAATTTCAATTAATCAAAAACAAAAAAAAAATTTTGTTAAACTCTTTTTATTAAATATAGTTACATCTACTATAAATTTTTGACATGAGACTCTAGAACTAGTAATAAATCGGGCATAGAAGGGTTAACAATTTTTTAAAGTTTTTTTTAAGTTAAGCCAAACTATTCTCGTATAACTATTGTGTCATAAATATATTTGTATGATGTATATATAAAACATGTTGGCTATTTATGCGAATAGTATCTGCCTATAGGTGACATTGGGCATCAAGGGGTTAAGAATTGTATGCGATGATACTTTTTTTAAGTTGAGTACCGAACTTTCTAGATTTTTTTTGCGTATTTTATGAATAATAATTTCAATTAATGGGAAAAATATTTATGCTATTTAAGATAAAATTCTATGCCCAAATGAAAGCTGTCAAGTCTATTTTTATTTAAAAAAAAATATTATTGGTAATGAAATATAACTTGACCTATGCTCACTCGTCAATCGGCAGAATTATTTAATTTTTAGTAATGAAAATTAAGCAGTAATTAAATGGTATTGTTTTTATCTATTAAAATTTATTGTCGATACTTTACTTTTAAGAATTCTGTTTGTGATGTTATCATCATACAAAATACTGCGAATTATATATATTGGAAAAGTTTATTATCAATTTTTATGAACGAATAAAGAATAATTGTTTTTGTAATAGAATATATATAAATTAATACTAATTATTTTATAAAGATTTTGAATTATATGAGTCTTTTCGCATAAATTTTTATAATTGTTATTGACCCATTATAGTTCCTAAATCGATTAGAATAAAATAACAGATTACTATAAATAAGCATTTATGATGAAGAAAAAACTGCAAATGGCTATGCCTATATTTAAATAAAGCGTTTTTGAGATATTGTGGGCTTTTGGGTAGAAGATTTCTCGAAAATCAATTTTTTAGGTCTACCTGAAACTGGCACTCTGTATTTGAGTAATACTGAAAATACATCCCTACTCCATATAATGTTTTTCGTTTCGTGGGTAATGGAAATTGAGGAGTTGAGTGAATACTAACCGGACTTGATATACGAGACTGGAGAAGGCGCGCACGCTGCATAGGGTCCTGGAGAGACATGGTATGTCACGCTGAAATTCGGTAACGGGTTGTTATGGCTAAATTAGTCAGTAACTTTGGAGAATGGGAATGTTTTCCGTATTATTGCTGAATAATTCCGAAAAACTCTGCTTATATTATAAACTAATAAAGTAGTAAATGCCGAAAGAAATGCCTAAATCCTAGAAATAAATATAATCGACTATCAAAATATCTTATATAAGTTTATAGTAAAAGTTTGGTGAGTTATTATTAAATAATTGGAAGTAATAGTAGATATTTTGTTTTCTCAAATCATTATCAATAGTTTAATAAATTTTTTGGTAAACTTAAAATGTCCACTGACTGATTAGCACCTAACGAAATTTAAGCTGAATAAATTTTAGATTTTGTAATAATAAAAGTATATTATTCATACAATATATTTAATCAGGTATCGATGAAGCAATATGTATCATTTTAACTTATCGTATTTATTTTCTTATCTAATAGTTAAATAAATAATCTATATGCAATAATCGCTGACACATGACAATTGCGTCTGGGTTAAATATTTCTTAAGAGATTTTCTTATCCAAGTAAACAACGATTTTTCAAAATCTTTGGAACACCAGACATTTTAATTTATTTTTATTAGTTGAAGATTAAATCTTATGAATTTTAAAATTAATAAGGGTTTATCATTTAAATGTTGTGTAGGTAATACAGATCATGAATATATCTTTCTACTTATACAACGTGTTATTTTCCAATATTTGCCTATATCTTTTTTGAATATCTAAAACGATTTACACATGATTTGTAACATTTAATTAAAATATCTACATTTATAAAGTCATTTTCTGGGCTTGTTGTCTTAGAGTAACGCGATTTACTTTGCCAGCTGAAGTCAATGGCATAGTATCAATAAAGTGGATGTGACGTATGACATCCAGTTGAGCAGTGGAAAGTGATGATTCTAACAAATAACCAATTTTCGAACGTATTTCTTGCTTTCGTTCATCTTCTTTAAAATTGTCCTTTAATGCAACAAATATTGCACCGACATCATAAGCGTCCTCTGGAGATTTTTTGTAACCAACCAAACGAGCGCTTGTTACTTCAGGCAAGTCGGCTACTAACGATTCAATCGGATTTGGTATTAACTGTAAGTGTTAAAAAATAATATGATAAATAATTATTAAGTAATTCAGAAGTATTGCTAATTATTTAAACAAAACCTATAAAAACAGTTAAATACTCACTATTCCATTTTGTGCTCTCACTAAGTCCTTATAACGTGACTCTACATGTAAATTATGTTTTTCATCCATAAATCCAAAATCACCAGTCAGAAAAAATCCATCATCAAAATAGTACTTCGAGTTATCCATTTTTAAATAACCCTTAAAAGGCACTGGAGCTTTTATACACAGCTGGCCGCGTATATTAGGCCCCACAGGCTGTAGATTGTCATCTAAAACTTTCATTTGTAAGCCAGGTAATAGTGGACCGCCATTTATATGTTCATCATTCGAGATACAGCTAGAAACCTCAGTCATGCCATAACAACGATAGATTATGCTATTTCGTGCTTTTTGTCTAGCCAAATCTATGAGTGCCTGTGAAGGTGGTTCTCCACCTAAATGCACAATACGTAATGAGTCCAAGGCATGTATATCTTTGTCAGAAATTGCGCGTAAAATTTCAGTAAAGATAACAGGTGTTGAAAAAAAATGTGTAACACCACCTTTCTGTATAATTTCACGACCATAAGCACCACTTGGTAAACCGCTAGCACAAACGCGTTTAAGACCCAACAAAATAGATTGTAGCATAAAATCTACTTGACTAATCCAACGAATTGGACTAAAAGAAAATAATATCGAATCAGCTTGCAAATCAGCACGATTGTCAGCTTGACACCACCAAGTTTTGAAACCATTTATGAGCAGTGCATGACTTATATCAACCGCTTTTGGTATACCAGTTGAACCCGAAGTAAATACCAATGAAGCTGTTGCTTTTGTTGAATCTCCCAAGTTGACGGTCTTAAATTTTTCCAATAAAGTTGGTCCAACATCTATTAATAGTTCAGTAGTTACATTAGGTGCAGCTTGACTATCAATAGAGAGTAAGTATTTTAAAAATAATAATGGACTGCGATTAAGTGAGTCTCTAATATCAGTTTCGTAAACATCTTCGAAAAGTATAACTTTAGGATCGACAATGCTGAGTGCATAATCAATATGTTCTGAAAGATTACATTAAATATATACATTGTATATGATGATCTTATTTTTGAAATTTAATTCCATACCTTGTTCAAATTTTGTTTCAAAATAATTAACTACTGCACCGATTAAATAACAACCAAATGCTAAAGCAGATATTTTTGGATTATTCATCGAATAGAGTACCACCACATCGCCTTTCTCGACACCCAATCTTTGTAGATTTATTGCTATTTTTACTGCATCAGAGTAAATTTCTCCAGCTGTCCTCTCAATACCAGTATCGTAGAAGTATTCTAATACTTTTTCTTCATCCAATGTGGACATAGTTTTTAGAAATATTTCTCCTAGTGTTTGCTTTACATAATCACCAAAAGCATAATTATTCGATTTCCATATTTTATTTTCCGAATCGTACACCATAGTTTGCGGTTTCATTTTGTTAATATGCGAGTTATTCTGAATAATAAAAAATATAAATTTTTTTTTATTGAAAATTCAACTACTCCCTAACCTATGAGTCTTCTTGAGCAACTGAATTCGATTCGTTTCGTTTCTTCTAAACTACTAAAGTACTTCGCTTAAATTGTATTTAACTAACCAATTTACCTGCTATCTCACTTTGTCGGCAGTGATGAATTTTTTGTGGTGCTATTTTGCAATGTTTAGCTAATTGCTGTGTTAATATTATAATTATAAATTTATTTATTTTTGCTGGGCTTATAGACGTTTATTTTTAATTTAATTAAAAATAAAATTTAAAAAAATTTTAATATATGTATTAGTTAATAATTTTCTAAATTAAATAAATTTAATAATATTAAAGAATTAGTTTAATTTGATTTTCAATTGATGATATAAACGAGGCAAAGCCCGGTAAACGTAAATTATGTATAAATTGTAATCGAAAATAACTTTATATTATTAATACAGATTCTTTTTTGAAATATTGTACTTAATTATTTCTGCAAATATTTAATAAATCGGTATAGGGAAATTAGTTAAAAGTGCAATTTCTATTAGAGATAGTATTGCTTACCAGAGCTACTTAATAAAAAGAGATGTGAATGCTTCAACTCATAAAGAAAACTAATATATAATTGCATGATCTTATATATAATTGATGAATAAAATGAATAACTTTAAGTTGTTTAAGATAATTCGGTTTCGTCTGCCAAATGCTTTAGCCTAATGACAGGCTGCTCGAACTAAACAATCTGTTTAAATAACTGATAAGTATCAGCTAAATCAGAATATTGAGAGGTATGTGGAGACTTCTGATAGATAAGTTCTTCACCAATTCCTAACAGGTGGTTTTAATAAATTCAAATCTCGCATTGTGGCCTTAAATACTTTCCACCTTAAATTGTATATGGTGACTCTAAAAACCGAGTTCAGTAGTTATAACAGTCATAACTTTACTCTCAAAATTTACTTAAATGTGAGTTAATACAGCAAAGCTAATGATAAGTTTGAAACAAGTTAACTAGTTATATCGGCAATCAAAGGAGACACTTAGGCTTATTTGCCCATGAGGACTATCTCTGTAACTAAACTATAGTACCTCTTTATTATTCTTCAAGTGCCACCCTTTGCACAGTATAGAATGTCTCTATTAAAAAAAAACACAATTTCATTCTTTTATTATTATTCATATTAACAAGACGAACTAATGGAAGTAGATAGTCCACACTTCGAACTAATGGAAGTTTAGGTCCACACAGTGGTTAAAGTGTAGATGTAGCTGACAATTAACTCCGAACAAACTATTGTGCAACACAGTATGATGTCACATAAAGATTAATAAACAAATGAATCGATCGGAAGTTTTATTATTGATGTTTTAAAAACGTTAAAACTGTATAAAGTTTATATATAACACATAGAGTGATATTGTTATTGCTGACAGTAGAGTAATTTGACTTGTGAAATCTCACAGTTGATTAAGATTTTATTAGTTGACATATGTGACATATATTGCCTATTGCCTTAAATTTAATTTGACTCACATACAGCTGTTTATAGCGATAAGATACTTTTATTATTATTTTTTTTTTATTATTGAGTAGATTTTATTACAACCATTAATATCACATGTTTAAAATATACTAATTATTATTTTAAATTATTTAAATAACTATTATATTGTAGAATGACTAACACAAAATTACCATAAATGACAAACTAATAGTTTGTAAAATTTCTTAAATAAAATCTTAATGCAACGTTTTTCTAAAAGATATTTACACAAGTATATATATATACAAATTGATTTTTATGGTGCAAAGTTTGAAAAAAAATATACTAATAAAAATTATTTTAGTTTTCACCGAAAAAAGTTTATTTCTTTAATTTAAAATTATCATTTGATGGAAAATTACCACTAGAATTCTTAAGTTTTTTGTTTACAAAAATAAATAACTTTGTTTATTAAATTTTATTTACAGTTCTAGTTTTTTGCAAATTCACTGTTCTACTTCTCACTACAGACTGCCGTTATTAATCTTTTATTTTCGTATCTTAAGCCCATTACACAATTGAGTCTTACTTCATTGTGATTATGAACTGTGACGTTATTGGCAGTTCAACACAGGCTTGATCAGCAAAACTTATTATAAACAAAAAATATAATAAAAAATAACACTGACATTATAATGCCTATGACTAGAATATACAAAAGTATTACTAAGACTACAAACGCAATAACAATAATATTTTCCAGACAGATATCTATCTGTCTATATATCTATATGTTTATCTTATCGTTGCGTTATCGAATTTTTAGAAAATTGTTAGTTTAACTATGTATGTTTTTACACTCTTTACTCTCTGTACTTTTCTATACTCAAATTTTTTCTAACATTCACATTATTGTAATTATTGTGTATATTAAGTTAGTCAATATGTGTGTAATGCACTGATATCGGAAACCTATTATTTACATACGAGTATTATTGATAAGAATGACAAGTGAAATTTTATTTAACGGAAACTGTTTGACGCTCTGTACGTCTGACCGCTTGTTCACTAAAATGAGAACTATAGTTATCTCTTAGTTTATGAGCTCATCAAACTGAGCTATTTACATGATTTATTGTATATGTAAATGCAGGGTGATCAAATCAATACTATATATATTTTAAAAGTCATTGCGGACGTTTTTATTTCATTTGATTTTCACCAAAACTGACATTTGTCTAGTGTACAGTTTTTTAAATCATTTTAAACGAATATGCAATTGAACATTTTAAAGATTATAGCGCATATTTGTATAATTGAGTAGTATTTATGAGTGCATAATATATATTAAGGCCTTGCGGCAAAAAATCGTACCGTGCGCTTACGTAGTTTTTCTGTAAGTCAGCATCGGCACATATTATGGTCACCTACTTGCGTGTACGCACCTTTTTTGACCGCAAATGCTTAATTCCATCAGACCTGACATTTAACTCAATAATGACTAAAACCGGTTTCCGACCTAAAAACTATTCCGTTATTATAGGAGCACCTTTTCTTTTTTCGCTTCGCATACCTATCTATAGATTCTTACTATCGCTGGATACATAGTATATATTATATACTCTTATATAACATTAATGACTAAAGCCAACCGGTTTCCGGCCATATACAGTTTCGAGTTTATTTAGGAAGACAGTCTTTTTCCGCTTTGCCTACGTATTTACAGACTCTTTACTATCATTGGTGATTTACACTTATTCAACATAAAGTACTGAAACAAACTGATTTTCGACGGAAAAAGTTTCCACTGAATTTAGTAGGTATAGATTCTTTACAATCGCTGGCGATTTTCTGTTATATAAAGTTCTTTAACAGTACTTCTTTATACAGATCTAATTTGTGTTTTCGTACCTATATTACAATTAAGCTTTACGGAGTATTGAAATTTTCAGTTTTAAATAATATTATCTTGAGTAGAATTTAAGACCGTATTGAAATCTCATAGCTTTATAAAATATCATTATTTTGCTACCATATTTTGAAAATGAAACCAAAAGCCATTTTTTTAGAACCCAGGGTACAACAGTTTTAAGAATTACACATTTGATCAGATCCCAAGACACTCGGGTGTGTAGATATAAAAGGAACTCAGCATAAACAAAAAAGTTAAGATCCGGTCAAAAATATTCACACATTTGCTGTGTCAAAAGATCATTAAAGATATCCTGTTATCTCGTCACTAAAGTGGCCATTGTTCATACTTCCTTCCATTATCTTCTCGAAGTTTGCACATGCGCTATAAGATCTTTCCAATGATCTTATGGATATTTCCAAAAACAGCATTGAAGGTATTCGTCACTGCTGTAAGCAGGGTTTGAATGATAATTAATAGTTTTCATTTATTTTGTAACATTATCTGTTATCTTGAGGCTTAAAAATAATGCAACTTCTGCTTCATGCTCTGTTCGGTTGAGGTTCAATAGATTTTGCACAGTTTTTGCACAGTTTTTGCTTGGAATATATCTCTATTTGCTATATCTGCTACCAAACTGGTGTGAGTGTTTTGCAACTACCGTTAGTGTAATTTTATCTGCGAAACCTGCTTTTTATACTCTTTCTGGTTATTTTAGACTCAGTGTGCCGTATCGTTATATTCGTACATAATAATGCACAATATTGGGTCCAGCACTAAGCCGTATGGGATCGGTGATATAATTCGGTACTTTCTTTTATCTCTGCTCGCTATGAAGAGGAGAACTCCATGATTTATTTTTTTTTTCAGCTTTGAAGCATTTTTTAACAAAAATTAGAATATTGAAGTCAATTGATCTGAAATCAATAACACTAAAGATGGTCTACAAAGTGAACAAAAATATCTGTTAAACAAAAATATATAGATAACAACGGTGAAATTTTTATTTATATTTCATATAAGTTATTATATAAAAATATAAATCCTAAAGCCCGGCGAAATTTAAACATTTAAAATAATAATAAATAATATATATAATATAAAAAATATAATATTATTATTAACTTGAATTTAATATTATTTATTATTATTATTTATTATTATTATTTATTAGTCGATGTATATATCGATATATATTTATCGACTGTTTGTGAATAATATATATATCTTATATTTTGGTGAATTAATTTATATTCTTAAATGCAGTAACAACAATTGCTATATTTTTGTGTTTGTTAGATATACACAAACTTACTCGTATATAAAGACAATAACCATTGTTATGCGTCACATTTGCCATACGAAACTAATTGAGTTATGGAACTAATCAACGTTTCAATAATTTTGTATAAAACTGCCTTCATGGATGTGGGCGAAATTGAATGTATGGGAGAAAAAAAGACTAACCCTCACATCAACGTCGGAGTGTTAAGTTAAAGCACACAGCAGATTAAGCAGAAGTGCATTAAGTCTGTATCTTTTTATCTAGCAGAATCCGCAGACATGCAATGAGCCAACCACGGATTCACTGTCCAACGTCATTAGCACCGACGCAAACATTACTTGCCATGTACGAGTAACGCGGCTGCCAACACTTTGCGGTCGTTTAATTTACAAAATTATGACGAATGGCATATAAATGACCCCTTTTAAATGGAACATAATTTTTAACAAGGCATGGAACAGGCATGGGCTCTGGGTATGAGTACTCACTTTTCGTGAGCACAAAAATCGCAACGAAGGGAAAATAATGTACACATTTCAAATTTTTTGTGTAGCAATTTTCGTGTATTTACACAAATTGATGAGAATGTTTCAATTAATCCCAACGTGCTGTGTTAATGTTCCAAATTGTTATTCTAAACAAATACGCATTTTGTACTTACACGTACCCATTCATCCCAGACTCCTTAATGGCTGCAGTACCGTTGGTGGGATTGAGGGCTGATTAACCATAGCCCACTAACGACATGAAAAGTCAACACAATGTTGCATTAATTTCTAACCGGATTTCGGAACTGTTGCAACACTCTGCGCGCTGCTTGTTAAAGGAAGAAAATTGTTGCCACATAATTTTAAATATATGCGCTAGTGCTCTACGGGTAGCTATGGTGCGAGTATTTGGTATGAGGCACTGTGATTCTTGGGTCAACTTTGAAAATTCGTTATAATTTTGTGTCCTGACAATGCGTCGATTGCGTTTCTTTGTCATTTGGCCATGTTTTTTACTTTTTATGCGTTTAAAAACAGAGTCAACATTTTGTGTTTACGCAGTCACGTGGATAATTGCCACCGCATGGGTTCATGAGGGTAGGACACAGCATGCTTAATGACATAAAGACAAGTGATAACTGCAGCAGAAATGAACGAAGGGAAATGCTACCAAAAAGTCTGTACCGTATTAGCAGGCAGTAGTGAAAATTTGTTTAATGGAAACCCAGAATTTTGGAAAAAAAAATTTTGCCTAATATGACAATAATTGCCAACAGTTTTCTAACGAATCTAAGGTTGACGTTATTACATCTATCTAAGGTTGACGTTATGGAAATAACTACAAACATGAGTAATAAATTTTTTTTTGATTTTTTGTCTTAACAATTTAAACAAATATAATTTAATATGAAATTTTATTCAATTCCGTCCCATCCACTATATGCGCAAATATTTACAGAAATTAAAATAGTAAAAATATTTAACTATGTGAAAACATAAGTTTTCTTATGTCGTCCCTTGTTTTATTGCACACCACATATGCATTGTGTGTCCTAAAACAACAAACCGCCAAGCATTCCTTGTCCAGGACACTCAAGAGATGAAATGTGTATTTATACGTAACGAAAAGATGTAAAAAATTCCATGTGCTCATACGAGAAAATCTTTGTCCTCTGCGGTTCAATTATGCGGTATGTGAAAAATTATGCCAGACAACACTTAAAACAACAAATCATAACACTGCGTAATGAAGGCAAACACAACACAATTTCAGTGTTTGTTTTTCCGCTCAGCCAACAGCAAGGATACAATATATTAGATGGCAAAATATTAATACGGTCACCCATATATGCTGCTGTCCTTAGCTGAAAGGTACATAAGTGGTGGAATAAAACTTGTAAACAATAAAGTAACAAGATGTTCAAGATATTTAAATCCTTAACAAAATCCGTATCAGTACAATCATCTAAATTACTTTAAGATATACCACAAATAGTGGGACATACTATAAGATATTTTTTAAATCTCATTGAGAGTAAACATTTTAACTCTCATTGAGATAACAAAGGATATGGTATTAAGAGATAAAGTTTCTTATCAATAAATATTTTATCTAACGCGTATATCATGTACATGGTAGGCTATATAAGATGGAACTATCTGCCTTGTTTCCGATGTCAAATTTAGAGATTTTTTGCTGTGGAATAGTAAAGACCAGTCGTATGTGCTGAAGCACAGGAGAGTTTTTGGCAAACAATCATTTTGAATAATGATGCCTTCTTCATGTTAAATGGTACCGTACCCAAACAGATGTGTCACCGGGGTATGACAAATGAACTTTTGAGGCCCATTGTCTGTGAAAATAGTAGGCAGCACTTCTGACTTTAACAAGATGGCGCACAACCTCATAAACAAATAAATTATTAAAGGAATTTTAACCGGTTGTTTGATATCAAAAATGGAAATTATGACTGACTTCCTCGTACACTCGATTTGACAACGTTCGACTTACTCCTATTTCAAGCCAAAAGTATATATTAACAAGTCAAAGACTATAGACAAACTTAATCCAACATCTAATCAAGAATAAGTCGCTAAAATATCTGAAACATTGGCAATTACGATTGGAAATGCTAAAAATCGGTCACATTACGCCATTCGAGCTAAAGGTTGCCATTAAAGGTGATCTTATTAAGTAGCGTTCTCCAATCAGTGGTCCGCTGTCGCCAGTCGTTAATAGCAAGTGTCTCAATATCGTTGGTCATTTGGTTTTTCTACGCAACATGCGAACGTCCTCTACTCTGTTTTCCATTAATATGAAGATAACCGCTTTTTGCCCATCGTTCGATATTTATTACCAACGGTACCACAGATCTTCTACGAATTATTTTCCCAAAACTGATTTTTCCGGAAATCTGTAAGCTATAAGCTAGCTTAAGAAGCTTAAGAAGAAAAGATTGTAATAGCTTTTCGTCGGTCTTAGTAATAGTTCAGGTTTCTATATTATACACCACAGGATGATAGATGACTTGAAGAACATTGTTTTTGTTTGTTGGCTCAATTTGGGTGGTTCGTTCTTGAAATAAGCGGTGTGTATGAGTTAAGTCTTATCAAAACGAAGACTGTATAGCTTATTAAATACCTCAATTATAAGAGGAATACAGTATAATACAAATTCTTACTTGTCTATCTCGTTTACTACTCTTGTTTATTACTAAGAGAGATAAGTTAATGCAAAAATATATAAGTAAATAAATATTGATTCAATGACAACCAACTTTTTAAAAAAATTTTTATTTAAACTAAAAAAATTTGAAAACTTTCATACTATACAACCTTTGGTAAACCTGGTAAATCTGGTACAATTAGGACCATATTAGGGAAATTAAACTCCTACCTATGGATTGAAACAGGCACTTCACAACAAGGTATATCGTATGTTTGTTATTAAAACGCATAGCGCCAATAAAAATATTCTTCCAAGATAGCTTCGTAACTATATTATCGGGACAGAAAGTGGAGAATATTCACTAAATCATAATATTAAAGAGTGTAGCCATATTTTGTGAACTGCAGACTACTGCATTTATTCACTGCTGGTTTTCCAATTCTTTGTTCTTAATTATGTTGTCAGTATGTCGGTAAATTAGTAACAGCAATTGAAAACTTTTCCAAAATCTTACTTAAAAGCCAGTACACTTTTTCGAGTAGCGTTTAAGTAAACTTGTCCAGAAGAAAAGGCACACTTAAGTTCGCTTAAAATCTATGCTCTTTTGCAGCAAAAGTAAACAACAGCAATTGTAGTTCTTCCAAGAAAATAAAAAAGATTAACAAAAAAGTTGAGAAAACGCAAACACGCAGCAACTGTAAAGGACAATGAACACTTTCGTCGCATGCCTAATAGGATACAACCGAATGAAGCTAATGATGCAGTTAATTGTGATAGTCGCGTGGAAAGGACTTTCATATAATGAGCACTATGACTACAATTGAGGCGTAACAATGAAAGATCCTTAATGAAAGTAAGAGAAAGCAACGGAACCAGCATCGATGGGAAGTTCACTGGCATGGCTTTTAATTAGTGTTAAGTTTTCCTTTTGCTTGTAAGAAGTGTAATTTTTGTTTATAACTTTTGGCTATGTGCTACATTGCAGCAATATAAATCTTACTACAATGTTTTACTTTTTACACTTTGTGCTCTGTAACTTTCGCTTAAGTTGAAAGAAGCCTTTCTTCGGAAACAAAGGTCATCTGAATACAAACAACTTTAATCTGCCGGCAACAATGACAATTTTATAAACTTTTTCTGTAACGAAAATTTATTAAATTTTACTTTTTGAACTGGCATCTGCTGAAAGCGCTAAAAGTAGCACTTTTCTCTGCTATGATTTTTAGTCAAACATAATTGCTGAAGTACTAAAAGTTTATATCCTTTCCGAATATACGACTTGCACACTTTAGTTTCACATAATTACAATTTGACTTGTCGGATAAAACAATGCGTAAACATGCCTTTGGTATATGACCTGTCCATGCCAGAGGACTACAAAGGCCAATATGCTGGTCCACGTCAACAAAGAACAGTTGCTCTTTGTGCAGATATTTTTGTTTTTTTGCACAGCAAAGTGTTTCATTAATGCAATTGTAATTTGGGGATACATTATTTTAGATACAAAATTTCTTAATTCAACAAGAAAATATTTTTTGTTGTTGTTATTGCCGTAATAAAAACAAATTTTTGGCCAGCTTTTATATGTTTTAGAGCTGAGATAAAATAAAAAGTATATGAAAACAAATAAAAATAAATACGCATGGCTCTCTGGTGTGTATCTTGTAGATATTCTTTTAGTGAAATTACAGCAAAAACAAAATAAAACAAACCGAAAATAACTTAAGAAGATAAACTTAAGCAAACGAAAATCCTTAGTATGCGCAATTTGGGTTGGGTTCATTGCGGCGATGGGGCCCATAAAACATATGAAGTACAATTGTTTCACTTGTTTGCGTCTTAGCGAGTGTAAGACCCATAATGATATGGTTGATCTTAGATTTGTGCTGCAGCATGATGTTATCTTCTTTATTACAGC